AACCCAGTAGATAATGGAAACTATGCAACCCACAGTTGAAAATATGCAACCCACAGTTAGACCACAAATATCCCCACACATCACAGACAAATAAGCCCAGTAGATAATGGACACTATGCAACCCACAGTTAGATCACAAATATCCCCACACATCACGGACAAATAAGCCCAGTAGATAATGGACACAATGCAACCCACAGTTTGAGCATAAATATCTCTAATTATCACAGACAAATAAGCCCATTAGTTAGACACCATACAACCTACAGAGCACAAATATCCCCAAACATCACAGACAAATAAACCCAGTAGATAATGGACACTATGCAACCCACAGTTAGACCACAAATATCCCCAAACATCACAGACAAATAAACCCAGTAGATAATGGACACTATGCAACCCACAGTTAGACCACAAATATCCCCACACATCACGGACAAATAAACCCAGTAGATAATGAACACTATGTAACCCAGTTAGACTACAATATCCCCACACATCACGGACAAATAAGCCCAGTTGATAATGAACACTATGCAACCTATAGTTAGACCAAAAATATCCCCACACATCACGGACAAATAAACCCAGTAGATAATGGACACTATGTAACCCAGTTAGACCACAAATATCCCCACACATCACAGACAAATAAGCCCAGTAGATAATGGACACTATGTAAACCACAGATAGACCACAAATATCCCCACACATCACGAACAAATAAGCCCAGTAGATAATGGACACTATGTAAACCACAGATAGACCACAAATATCCCCACACATCACGAACAAATAAGCCCAGTAGATAATGGACACTATGTAACCCAGTTAGACTACAAATATCCTTACACATTCCATGATGATACTATCAGTACATACCCTATTAAATAAAATACGAAAAAAATAAACACGAGGTTTAAATAAAATTAACAGCAAGTTTGAAGCATCTGGATATATTTTCTCTGTGTAGCCTTTACCATAATATGTGTAAATAGCACTAACACATTTAAAAGCATTGCAACTGTAAAATATTTCAGATGAAAAATTAATATCATGATAAAATGCCAAGAAATCACTGAAGGGATGTTTTCTAATTGAAATTATAATACAAAGACTAATGACATGTATTCTTGTTTTATTTTAAATTATTAATAATGGCACAGTAAAAAACAAAAGAATAAAATGCAACTTTTATGAATGGTCACATTAACTTGGATGGAGCGAATCACTTTTGTATATGTGGGTTATATTACCATTATCAAACTATCTTCACCCTTGGAAGGCAAAGATAAATAACTTTCATAGGTTGGAAAACAAACTTCCATAGGTAGTCACAAATGCACTTGCATAGAGTTATTTAATTCCATTCAAATGTGCAAGTTTCTTAAATGAAATCACTTTTGATTGGTAGTACTATTTGACAAAAGGTTCCTTTGAGGGAATTATATTTTAAATATAATAGCTCTAAGCAGTCATGATGATCCAAAAGAACATCTAAACTTTTAACACAAATATTTTCATGATGATCCAAAAGAAAATCCAAACTTTTAACACAAATATTTTCATGATGATCTAAAAAAAAATCCAAACTTCAAAGTCATTCAGTCGCAAGGTGACATTAAAACAAATATTTCGATGATCCAAAAGAAAATCCAAACTTCAAAGTCACTCAGTCGCAAGGTGACATTAAAACAAATCATTCGAACACACAGAACACAATATTCCTCCACTTGCAATGACAGTTTTCCAGTTATTTGTCCAGTTTCACATTTATTGGGATAATTTGTCGATCATCCGAAATACCTTTTTCTTTAGTACATCTTTTTTCCTCTGTGAAATGAATCCGTTTCTTTTGCGGCTTTGCTCTAGAGCTCTCAGACAGTCTTTTGGCTTTGGACGCTTTTTGGCCTCAAAAAACTTTTTAAACAAAGTTTTTATTTCTTCTTCCTCGTCTTCAGTCCATTTAGTTTTTGAGGTGGATGTAGGTTTTCTTTTCTTCTTTTGAACACTGCGACGACATTCATCATCATCATAATCATCATCATCACTGAAATCATTGAAGTTTTCGGCTTCATTCAGAATTACCTGCAATCCAGCAGGATCGCCCCATTCGTTATCAGTTACAACTTTATTTAATACAATATTTGATGTGGGGTCTCCCTTCTGTTCAGTCTCTTCAGTAATTTTCTCTGTGACAATATCTGAAACAATATGTCAGCAAATTAAATTTCACATGTATTCAAAAGCAAATTTCATGTCTTTTTTAAATGCATTAGTAGCATTTAATGTAGTAAGAAATTATTATGTTTCTAGTCCACTTATAAATCAGTTTGGAAGTATTCATTTACATCCAACAAAAAAAAAGACATTGAACTAACTCCAGGGCTGCCGGTTAATTAGCAGCACTTGCTAATCAAAAATGCAATTTTGCTTAAATTAATTAGAAAATCCAAAAATTGATTAGCAGTTTTGTAGTTTTAACATACAACACCTAAATAACACCATTATTTATGAATATAAAAATGTCATTGGCATATTCATGATTCGCAGCCACTGCGAATTGAAAACTTAAATTAATTAGCTATGGCTAAAAAAAGGGCCAAATATATGCGTTGTGATACTGGTTGTTGGCAGCTATGACTAACGCAAATGCATATAATACACCCAACTCTGCTACATTGCATGACCTACGTTCAAAAGAATAACATGACATCAGTGTTTACCACCAATATCTGACCATTTGCCATGGTCTGGTAAAAAACACAAATTTGATAAGGCAAAGGAGGAAATAAAAAAAACTAATTTCTGATCAAACAGTACTGAAATTATTTTTGCGTCACTTGAGATTAAGTACTGAATCATTTAATATATTCATACCATGCATATCAATGTCCTGTAAGGTTTTATTACGGAACTCTCCAAGTCGGTCATGGTCCTGAAGTAACAGTATTTTGGCTATTTGAGTCCTCTCCAAAATATCACTCGTACATCTAAATGAAACAAATTACAACTGTGAACAGATTTTGATCATAAAAGTATTCTGTTCATTGTTATAATCAACGATGAAACATTGTAAAAAAAACTTTTAAATTCATCATATCACAAAGGTTAATCATATATGGTATTCCATATATCATTAATATTTCAGGTATCAAAACTGTTAAAATTTTAATTTGACATGAGGGATACTCCAATGAAACATCTATCCCAAGGCATGTCTAGTTTTCTTAAGGTTACATTATAGAATCTTATCAATACTTAGCATTAACGTCTTTCATAGGGTAACTGTTGTAAACTCTGTTTATCTTCTTTTTTAATCCAGTTTTGGTTGTATCAGCTTTCAGAAGTTTTGAAATATAAATGCCTGGATGACTCTTTTCCCGAACTATACAATCCTCATCTAAACTTTCATCACTGGAACTATCCTGACTGGATACTTCCTTACTGGATACCTCATTACTGGATACCTCCTTGCTGGATACCTCCTTACTAGATACCTCCTTACTGGATACCTCCTTACTGGACACCTCCTTGCTAGATCCTACAACAGTCTTTATTTCCTTAAATGATGATGCTAGAATTGGATATATTTCACTACCATCATCAGACTCTGAGCAGCTTGGGTATAAAACTTCAACAATCTTGGAACTTTTCTTTTCTGGCTCTTCATCAGAGCCATCGGAGGATTCCGATTGGCTAGGTTGGTATTCTGAACCACTAGTACTTTCGATGGCATCTTCAAGTTCAGGTAACTTGTCCATGATGATGTCATCCTCATGTTCAGGTAACTTGTCCATGATGATGTCATCCTGAAGTTCAGGTAACTTGTCCATGATGATGTCATCCTGAAGTTCAGGTAACTTGTCCATGATGATGTCATCCTCAAGTTCAGGTAACTTGTCCACGATGATGTCATCCTCAAGTTCAGGTAACTTGTCCATGATGATGTCATGGAGTAGTGAAGTGGTCTCCTCTAAGGATAGTGTACCTTTTCTTAGATCTTTGGCAGGTGAAATATCTGTGGAAGTTGTGCCAATGTTCTGGGTTGGTGTCACATCCTTGGTTAGTGCAACATCCTTGGTAGGTGTGTCAATGTTCTGGGTTGGTGTCACATCCTTGGTAGGTGTGTCAATGTTCTGGGATGGTGCCACATCCTTGGTTGGTGTGTCCATGTCCTGTGGTGGTGCCACATCCTTAGTTGGTGTGTCAATGTCCTGTGGTGGTGCCACATCCTCGGTAGGTGTGTCAATGTTCTGGGGTGGTGTCACATCCTTGGTTGGTGTGTCAATGTTCTGGGGTGATGTCACATCCTCGGTAGGTGTGTCAATGTTCTGGGATGGTGCCACATCATTGGTTGGTGTGTCCATGTCCTGTGGTGGTGCCACATCCTTGGTTGGTGTGTCAATGTCCTGGGGTGGTGCCACATCCTCGGTTGGTGTGTCAATGTTCTGGGGTGGTGTCACGTCCTTGGTTGGTGTGTCAATGTTCCCGGGTGGTGCCACATCCTTTGTTGGTGTGTCAATGTTCTGGAGTGGTGTGTCAATGTTCTCAGGTGGTGTCACATCCTTTGTTGGTGTGTCAATGTTCTGGGGTGGTGTCACATCCTTGGTTGGTGTGTCAATGTTCCCGGGTGGTGCCACATCCTTGGTTGGTGTGTCAATGTTCTGGGTTGGTGTGTCAATGTTCTCGGGTGGTGTCACATCCTTGGTTGGTGTGTCAATGTTCTGGGGTGGTGTCACATCCTTGGTTTGTGTGTCAATGTTCTGGTTTTGTGCCACATTCTTGGATGGTGTGTCAATGTTCTGGTTTTGTGCCACATTCTTGGATGGTGTGTCAATGTTATCAAGTGGTGCCACATCCTTGGTTGGTGTGCCAATGTTCTGAGTTGGTGTCACATCCTTGGTAGGTGTGTCAATGTTCTGGGTTAGTGCCACATCCTTGGTTGATACACACATGTTCTGGTTTCGTGCCACATTCTTGAATGGTGGGTCAATGTTATCAAGTGGTGCCACATCCTTGGTTGGTGTGCCAATGTTCTGAGTTGGTGTCACATCCTTGGTAGGTGTGTCAATGTTCTGGGTTAGTGCCACATCCTTGGTTGGTGCACACATGTTCTGGGTTGGTGCCACATCCTTGGTTGGTGTGTCAATGTTTCGGGGTAGTGTAATATCTGTCGAGGATGTGCAAATAGTCTGGGTTGGTGTCACATCGAGAAATGGTGTTTTCATTTCATCTGCAGAAAATCAGAATTTTATAAGTAAGAATTCCAGAACTATATCTTACAATTTATAACACTTTTAACGTAACATGTACACTTTATTGTAAAGCTATATTAAATTTGTTCAATGAGAAATGAGGATTTGTATCAAATCTGATGTCAATTCAGTATATAATTGAGAACTTACAAAATTATCAAATCTATCTAAAAAAAAACTTTTAGGATAAAGGCCGATATGACACTGCTGCCGATGGAAAAACAACATCATGCAAAAAGGAGCACCAACAAGGATAACATAATTAAGAATTCTTGGAATAAATAACAAATTAGGGTGAAATGTGTCTGAGTGCTGAATCAATTCAGTGATTTGTACCAATGATTTACCTGTTGTCCAGGAAATATCCTCAATGAAGCAATCAACTGTTTTTTTCAAGTTCTTTTTCATTAATTTACCTAAAAGAACAAATCACAATGAATAAAAAATAATTTCTATGATAAATTTAACAGTAAATATTGATAAATAATTTCATTAACAATTTGATAATATAAATATAATAAGCGGTTTTCATAAAAAGAATATAAAGGTTATGAAGGATGCGAGTATGAACATGCGACTCCAAATAAAAAATTAAAAATATCCACACAAAGTAAACTGTTAAAAACAGTAAAAGACAAAGACATACATAAAACAAACAAAACTAGTTATGTGGAATTTCCATATGTTGGTACCTGAAACCATCTCATAGTCTGTGAGACTAGCCTTGTTGGAGGTAAATGAAATATTGAACTAAATAATAATACAAAAAAAGATAAACAAACTTAAGGAACAATGAAAATTAAAAAATCTTTCCACTAGTTTCAATAAGTGGAAAATATCGTTGTTGTCGGATGAAAACCTTGTATACGCTTTTTAGGAGACCTAACAAACCTCTTTTCTGTTTACTTTAATGTGGTAAATTGCCATGTTTTAAAAGTAAATAACACATAAGAAGTGTTTTACTTGAATTTTAATTAATTGTAATAAAATGATTTACAAATAATAACTCTCTGTGACCTCCAAAGTAAAAAAGGTAAAAAAGCGTATACCGGTACAAGGTTTACATCAGACAACGAAGATATGTCAGTACAAATCTGTGTTTACCCAATGCAGTTTTCTTGATCAAATTTAGGTTCCCAGGAAAGGGATGTGTATCCTTAGTATGTATAGTAAATCTGAAAACAATTTTTGTATACTACAATATGGCTCCTCACAGTTCCTTTTATCTTTGAGAAAAGTAAGATTGTATCATTTTTAATAATAACAAATGTCTTTTATAACTTCTTTTTCAATAAATGTCATTGATCCTGGGAAAAAAAACATATTTTAATACTGTTATGAGGTACACACACACAAATTGACTACTTACTCAGCATTGTCACTTTTAACCAGCACAGTACACAAATCTTTATCTACGTTGAGCACCTTTACTGGCCACAACACTGGGCACCTTGGTAACTGTGCCCAGACAACCATGCCCTCTGTAACTTCCTGGCTTAGATATTCCTGCAAGAATAATAAAAATCAAATCAAATAATAAAAAGTAGGAATGTTCTATCAACAGTCTTTTGATTAGTCAACCTTTGTACTTAATTTCTGAAACCTTTTTTAAGCCCTGCCCTACAGATTGCACTTTGCTTAGAATGTTTGTATTCTAGAGAGTAAAGATTCTTTCTTCTTTTTTTTCTAGCTTATTACATATTTGGTCCAGGTCCTCTCTATGATCTTATTTGTCCGTGATGTGTGGGGATATTTGTGGTCTATCTGTGGGTTACATAGTGTCCATTATCTACTGGGTTTATTTGTCCGTGATGTGTGGGGATATTTGTGGTCTAACTGTGGGTTACATAGTGTCCATTATCTGCTGGGCTTATTTGTCCGTGATGTGTGATAGTATCATGAAATATTTGTGATTGTCATTACTGGGCTTCCCTATCTGGGTTACATAGTGTCCATTATCTACTAGTGTTGAAACTTGTATTCGGATATCCGTTAACGGATACAAAATCGCGGATATCCGAATAGTTTAACTATCCGTTACTATTCGTTTGAATGAAAACAGTGTTCTATTTTTAGTAATTTTTACGTTTGATTCTTTAAAATTTTCCACAATGCTTTATAACATACATAGCTCTGGGTTCTTTTTAAAAATAAGTATAAGTAATAACATTGTAAAATTTAACTGGGTCTAGTATTAAATTGACTAGCCTAGAGTAACAAGAATGCATTTCTATTTTTTACTAAACAAACGCGAAAGTCGTAAGTTGAACGTTTGTTCACTTCTCGTGTTTTCTCACAGACACAGACAGTGTGTGGTTTCGTTTTCTTTTCTTGTCACACTGTCGGTTTTTATTTTAATGTTTTATGAAGCAATTTGTTAAAATTATAATTTGTTTGTTTATTTCTCCCTCCCATAAACAAATCATGCACTTTCTTTCATTCCCTGTTCTAAAAGTTATAAAACGGCAATGGATGCGGGTAAAAAGATATGTTAACATTGTAAGGATCTATGTATGACAAGCGAGTCTAAGATTACCGAAACTGTAAAGATCTATGTATGACAATCGAGTCTACAATTACCAAAACGAGGCAAATGACCTTGGCGGTACAAATCGAGTCTACGATTAATGGAACTGTAAAGATCTATGTAAGACAATCGAGTCTACGATTACCAGAACGAGGCCAATGACCTTGGCGGTTCAAATGTCACAGTCATTTTATTTTCTCCACTGTTTTATTCATGATTGAGGATTCGTTTTGATCAAGAAAAATTAAAAGTTTGAACTGGAGGATTATTGATCTGCATATTTCTACACCCCATACAATTTTGGATTCTTTTAATAACTAATATGTGAGATTGAACGTCCACTCGAAACAAACTACGAAACCGAGAGAAAGTCAACGATGTTGGACAGGCGACCTTACTCTTTGGTGTGTCAAAACCTTGGTGAATCAGAACCACGTCACTTGAATCATTGTCAGATCTTATGACCTAAAGCACAGACCAGCCCCCTATATAAATAAAATATGGACTTTATAAGAAATCGTCTGGGCCGACTTACAGATTCCGTTTAAGAGTATTAACTCACTAAAGCTAATCTCTAGAGTCCTAATTCAAAACATTAGTACAAGGCAAGGTTATGTTGATGTTTTGTTAAATTACAAACTACAACATATAAAGTTGGTATTTCTAGAGTTATATTGCATTCATAGTCGACAATCAATTTTTAATAAACAATAAACGAAAAAAATCAAATGTTTTCAGCGATGGTATACCCAACTGTCAGGGGATCTTTTACGTCCAACATTGTTATTGTGTGTCCTACCTAACCCATCGGCTGGGCTAATTATTACGGGCATACCCCATAAAACTTCAGGGTTAGCTTGAATAACATCACATAAAGTAGGACGTTAAACCCCATTTTTTATCATTTTATTTCGTTACAAAAAATGGACATACAGACTACCCGTGCCATGCTAGGTGACACAGAAAACTTCAATCCGCAATATAAAACTCCTGTTGATGATATTTAAAACAGGCAATATAAACTAAATATATAGATATATTTAAACTTACAGATCTCATTACAAACATAGCTCTCGAAAACAAATAATATGACGACATTGGTCACCATGTATCTAATCCAAAATGTCATCTTTGTTATCAACTAAATATGAAAATAAATAAAACATATTGGCAATGAGATTAAATTCATTTTAATAGTGGAGGTAACATTCTTGAATTAACATAATATGGTATTTAGCCAGAATTTCGAATTGCGTGTGGGTTGTTTTAGCGCTGGGTAGAAGCCGGAAAATCAATAGAAGAGCCTTTATAGTAGCATCTATGGCATGCCTTAGATCAGATGAATTTGGGGTGGGGGGGCAGCTCCAGTGGTTTATCGCGTGGGCGTTAAATATATGGAAGACCAAGCAGCTTTTTATTCAGTGTTCTTAATTCTTAGTTCTTAATTTATAATCCTTAATTCGTATTTCTTAATTTGTTGTCCTTTTTTGACATTTGTACACTGAAAATTAACATTTGTATATTAAAATCAATATTTGTTTTACAAATCAGACGAGTGTCATATCAGATTTGTAAAATGTATTTTAATATTTATTTTAGTAAATCAAAAAAAATAATCTACATTTACATTTCATCATAGACATACAACGAAAAACAAATATCGAACAATAGATTTCCAAATACAAAGCTCCAAATACAAATGTTGCAAAACATTTCTCCAAAAACATTTCTCGAATTTCATCGAACCGGAACATTATGACGACATGAGCCTTAATCAACCTAGCATACAATAAGTCATCATACAATAAAGGCAAATCGAACAAGCATATATACAAGAAAAATAGCTCGATGACCGTGACTTTAGTGAAATAACGTGCGTGTTATGTTTCTATATATAAATATATTAGTTAATATGATCTAGCATTAAATAAAATAAATTGAAAGTAGTCTTTTTTTAGTTTTTTTGTTATTTTTTGATAGCGACATATTTCTTTGGACAAACGAAAGAGGATTTTATCTCTTCTAAATCATGTAATCATGAATGTCCCAGTAAAATAACCAATACTCGTATATTCAAAGAGCGATAGACAAATACTTTCAGGTGAAGCATCACTCGATAACTGAAATTTCCCATTAAGACGCGTATTTTGACTTTCAAATACCCCCCCCCCCCTTCACTAAATAGTGTTCAGACGATCAAATGGTACATTTTTGAAAATGTATTTGAACCTTTTTAATGGTATGCATCACGATATCTTGTATTTCGTGTTATGGCCCGTATTTTGACGTTAAATATCCCCCCCCCCCTCATTTAATACCAGTTAGGGTCAGTCGTCAATGTTTTTTTTTCTTTTTTCAAGGTATGTACATTTAAATTTACATTTTGTAGCAAGCACAAAACATACTTTCCAGCAGTATATGAACATATATCTAGACTTTCTTATAAAGATCTTTTTTTTTTTACTTTAAATACCCCTCCCCTCCCCTCACTTAATAAAGTTTAGTACCGTTCAAGGCATGTAAATATAAATGCGCCAGAAAATAACTTGAAAAGGTGTACTACGGTATTAAATTCTGTTAAGTGATGGAGAGGGGGTGGGTGAGGTCTTAAATGTCAAAATACGGGCCACACTACGACATTCCAGATATCACACAGAATACCACTGAAAAGAAATTTCATTTACCTTTTCAGAAATGTAAATTATATTCTGGCACATTTACATAGCTTCACTTAAAAATATTAAGTAAGTGGGAGGCGGGGGGGGGGGGATTTGAAAGTTAAAATACGGGTTATCGTGCAATGTATGACCGGAAAGAATATTTTTATCTCTCTTTCAATATATTTATACTTATTCCCTGGCACATTCATGAAAACATGTTTTAAAAGAGATAAAACAATCTTTCGTTTAAGCAAGGAAGGAGGGTTGGGTGGCCGAATGGTTAGCACATGCGCGCTGTTACATAATATCTGTGGTTTCGATTCCCCGGTTGTACGTGACAAGGAGTACAGACTTATGAGTTTTCTCCGGGTCCTCCGGTTTCCTCCCACTGCTAAAGACCCCTATGGGCAAGTGAATTATTGAAATGAAATTGAACCATGTTTTAGTCCCGAAATGACCTAGTTGTGTCGAGTGGACGATAAACCCATTTCTCTCTCTCTCTTTTGAGAATAGAAATATGTCGCTACCAGATAAAACCCAATTTCTGATAATAGACTGACTACTTTCAATTTATTTTCTTTATCGAAGGCCCGGGCCGATTAGCGATACTACGCACGTGGTTTTACTAGAGTCGCGATCATAGAGCGATTTTTCGTATTATACATATGCTTATACTAGATTCCCCATTATTGTATGGTGACTTATTGTATGCCATGTCGTCATAATTTTCCGGGTCGATTAATTTCGAGAAATGTTTTTGGAGAAATTTATTTGGAGAAATGTATTTGGAGAAATGTTTTTAGAGAAATGTTTTGCAAGATTTGTATTTGGAAATTTGTTGTTCGAGATTTGTTTTTCGTTGCATTTCTCTGATGAAATGTAAATGTAGTCTATTTTTTTTTTCTAAAAAACAAATTATCTTTATATTAAAATACAATTAAGTTAAACAAAAATACATTTTACAAACTGATATGACAAATGCCTGGTATATGAAACAAATATTGATTTTAAGATACAAATGTTAATTTTACTGTAAAACAAATAAAGAAAAAAGAATCAAGAACTAAGAACACTGAATATGTGTTATGTGTTAGACGTTTGCATATCTTTTTTAAAAAATATGAACAAAAATATATTCATAGCAGAATATTTGCATTTTTGTTCTAAAAATGTGCATTAATTACACCTATGTCGTCATCGTCGTAGATTTGAGTAGGGGCTAACGTCCACTTCGACGTAGGATGATATAGCAGACAAATAGTTCCTAG